TCTATATTACTATTAAATAATCAAATTATGAGTTTCAAAGCATTTCATCAAAAAATAAAAAAGTTACGGCTGTACCTATTATATTGGTCATTTCACGTGTTGCACGCGCACGCTCTTGCAAGCACGTGCGCGGAAAATGACCTTGACTAGTCAATTCTACATAACATGTCTACTAACTCTAAAAAGGTTTTACCTACATCGGATGAACAGTTTACAAGATCATTCCCGGACAAAAAAGTACCCAGGAAGAAGAAGAAGAAAAATAATAATAACTAGAAACTCTTGTTGCTACAGCAACAAATAAGGTCTTCCGTTCTCCTCTTTTATCTGTAAGAAGAATTTTTTTTGTATTTAAAAAAAAACAAAATGCAAAAAAAAAAAAAAAAAATATCAATTCCTCCATCTGGTCTCGATCCCAAAACCATTAGTATGAAAGTCGGACACGCTAACCACTGAGCCACCAACTTCCACAACATTTCAGGTATTCTGTAAGCTTATCATTTTAAGGTTGAAGGAAATAGTTTCGAAGTGAAAGAAATAGTTTCGTAGTAAAGTACCGGTCAAATTTCTTAAAAAACTAAGATATTCCCTGTTTGATGTGATATTGTATGTAGGAAAATGATTAGAATAATTATGGGACACATTTGTAGTGAAGCAATGGCACTTAGCATAAACAGAGTTGTAAAGCGAAACTAATACACGTGGTCAGTTACAGAGGAAATTCAAAATCCCAGAAAAACAGTGAGTCATGGGCATTTTTTCAAAAGCATATCGTATCAAGCGGGGTAACTGCAATTGACCTATCTCAATTGCGCGGAAATTTAATTGATATGAAAAATCGTCATTTCCGAGTTTCAGCCGATTCATATTTAAATCTAAATAAAATTAAAATAAATTCCATACACCTAAGAAAGCAAGAATACTTGGTATTAAAATGTCGTAATGGAGCAGGAGAATCGAATGATATTAACAATAATTGCAGAAATAGCCAATACGAGTTTTAATTTTTATGCCAAGCAATAACTTAATTTCAGACAGAAAAAAAATGCAGATTTTGCCGATATTCACTAGAATTTCAAAATACTTCAGAGACTCACCTTAAAACTCTCAGGACACCTTCTTTCAGGTCTCTTCTTTCTTTTATTACAAATCTTATGCCGATATTTCGTTTCGTTTGACTTGTAGACATTTTCTCTAAGTTGGTGTTGATTGTTTTGTTTTTTTTTTTTTAGAGAAAGGAGGGGATATTTTATAAGCATTTGTTAGAGTAAGAGTTGCAAATACCTCCACGACCGTCAGCTTGATTGTGACCTTTGGGTCAATGGGGCCAAAGAACAAGGTCATTTATCAAGGTCAAAGGTCAAGGTCATCAGAGAGAGAGAGAGAGAGAGAGAGAGAGAGAGAGAGACAGAGAGGTAAATTTGAGATAAACACTTGAAGCTGAATCTAGATAAAGGTAATGTCAATATTCCTTAATTACTTTTTGAGTAAGGGTCAAAGGTCTCATTTTGAGGTTTCTCTATACATTTGCAGTCTGAATAACATGTCCCAAAATCATTTCAAATACTCTTTTTACAAAAGATATTTATGGGATAGAAAGAAACTCAATTTATGCAGTTTTTCTCTCATAACCGGAAGTCGTCGTTTTTGTTTCCAATGGGACTGACATATTTCGAAACTACTTGTAAGATGCTATAAGGTAATACTTAGAAAAAATCCTTAAAGAAAAGTTTAAATTTTTTATTTATTTGATCACTTCCTGTGACAACCGGACAATCTTAAACTCAAAGGATTTGTCTACTCGTCAAGTTCTACCATCCCTATTAGTTTGGTGTCTTAATCTCTTACCGTTAACGAGATCTAGCAATGATAACTTCTGATTTTGAGGACATGAAGTCACGCGACCGGAAGTGAATTTTACTGAGATATTAGACATTACTGTAGACATTTGCAGTCTGAATAACATATCCAAAAATCATTACAAATACTTTAACTATAAGAAATATTTATGGGAAAGAAAAATACTCAAATTATGTAGTTTTTCTCTTATAACCGGAAGTTGTCGTTTCAGTTTCCGGTGGGACTGATATATTTCAAAAATACAAATAAGATGTTATAATGTGATGCAAAATATGTTTCATGAAAGAAAAGTTAAAAATTTAGATTTTTTGGATCACTTCCTGTGACGACCGGAAGTGACTGCTGACAATCTTATCCCAAATGATTTTGCGTACTTTTCATGATCTACCATTTATATAAGTTTGGTGTCTTGATCTCTTACCGTTGACGAGATCTAGCTATGATAACTTTTCATTTTGAGGACAGGAAATCACGCGACCGGAAGTGAATTTTACAAAGATATTTGACGTTACTGTAGTCATTTGCAGTCTGAATAACATATCCAAAAATCATTACAAATACTTTATCTATAAAAAATATTTATGGGAAAGAAAAATACTGAAAATATGCAGTTTTTCTCTCATAACCGGAAGTTGTCGTTTTTGTTTCCGGTGAGACTGATATATTTCGAAACTACAAACAAGATGCTATAATGTGATGCAAAAAAGTTTCAAAAAATAAAAAGTTGAAATTTTCGATTTCTTTGATCACTTCCTGTGACGACCGGAAGTGACGGTGCACGATATTAACCCGATTGGTTTTGCCTACTTATCAAGATCTATTACTCATATAAGTTTGGTGTCTTCATCTTTTACCGTTTCTGAGATATGACTCGGACAAAACTTTTTTGAAAAAAGCGGAAATCGGACATAACTGACGACCGGAAGTGAATTTTGAAAAAATGAAAAAAACGCCTGAGCGTATTTTCATTCTCTATCATCCCTGAAAATTTCAGGAAAATCCGTCCAGCCATCTCTGAGAAATCCGATTTACAAGAAAAGGGGAAAAAAAAAATAATAAAAAGAAACAGTAGAATCACTATAAGGTCTTCCGTCTGAAACGGAAGACCTTAATAAGAAACAGAGTAAAAACAATATGTTCCCCAACTTCGTTTGGGGAACATAATAAAACATTTTATATTGTAACTTTCTGTTGCATACCTTAAATAAGACAACATTTTTCCTAGTACACGAATCGGGTGCTATGACCGAACAGAGTCGGAAGAGGGGGGGCACGTATGGACAACGTTTCATTAAAGCTTTTAAGAATAAGATATAAGGAATAGAATCAAGGACTTTGATGCAATTTATCATGACATTGATGTTTGAAGTGAAAACTCCGAGCTGCTGAAAGAAACATACTAGTATAAGTCAAAAGCTCTGCAGAGCGTGTGCTTATTGTTTCACAAATTCAATATTTTAAAGATTTCTAATCTGCCATATAGATTCCATAGTTCTGTGTACATGTCAAATGTCCAAAAATAGTAATTTGTTATAACAGATTAATAATTTGTTATAACAGAATATTTATTTGTTATAACAAATTAGTAATTTGTTATAACAAATTAATAATTTGTTATAACAAATTAATAATTTGTTATAACAAATTGATAATTTGTTAAATCAAATTGATAATATATTTATAATATACTAGGGGGTCAAAAATTCAAGCGAGTTTGGTGCCTGTGTAATACGCTTCCGTAGTATTGAGCAGTTTAGCAAAAGAATTTTTTTTCTAGCGTGCGACGGAAAAGAAAAGGGCGAGGTGATTCGATTGTTATACAACTGCTAACAACATCATAAACTAGATCTAGTCAGACTAGCTATAGGTACATGGAACGGATCGAGCGGTGTAACCCCACCCCCACCCCTCCCCACCATCTGAGAATGTTTATCTTTAATCTTTATTAAAGCGTAAAATGATAGTAGATATCAAAATATAGGAACGGGAGACTAAGAATTTGTGTATTTATGATAATTTTTTGTATATAAAAATCCTCTGAATACAGCTTAAAGTCAAGATCTAGTAAATGAAAGGTGCCTACAGATTTATCAAATTTGAGAAATAATTTCCTTTATCGATGCTTTACAACTTTAGCTTGGTCAAATAAGGTGTTTCGGGGCATAATTTGTAGGTAAACAAGATGAAAAACTGTATTTTAAACTGTCATTTTCAACGCAAAATTAAGAAAACCAGTCATGAATATGGGAGTTTTTATTATATACGACAAAGAAAATGTATCCAGATTGCCTACAGTCTCTCAGAAAACGGTAATTTGTTTGTTCATGGCCTCTTCTTTGAAATAATATCAAATTTAATATAAGTATCTGGTTTACTTTTCATATGATTTCAAATTGAATGTCATGAAAATACCCTATTTTCTACATAATTCTGCTAAAGCCGTAAAGTACGGGAAAAAGAAAGTTGATTATGACGTCAGGGGGGGGGGGGGGAGGGTGTTCACAGGTGTCTGGTGTATAAATCTGTGATTCTGGGGTCTCCATCAGCATTTTCGTGTTCTTCATAGATCTGGTACCAAAATGTACTCCCTTTTTAATTGCTGCCCAGTTATATAAAGCTCTTAAAGCAACGCCTGTGCGAAGAGAAAATTCGGGCTACTGCACATTCATTCGATAGAATTTTTTGATGCCGTAATTTCGACCCACAATGCATCACTTGTTTTAGCTACGTTCTCGCGAGAATAACGACAAATGATCAACAACAAGTTTACCCGCCTTGATTTAATGGATATATATTGAAGATAAATAGAAAACGAAACGTTCTCCATTAACTTTCAGCACTGTTCAGGCTTTTTCTTGGAATTGAAACTCACATACGACGTCATGTGACGTCAAAGTCTAGACGCACCAAATGTCACGTGCGGTTTGACGAGCCCGATCTAATTTAAAACAATAGAAGAGTTTGCGCTCGCTCTAACGGTCGCACCGTCAACATATTATAAATTGTTAGATCTAATCACTGTTGACAGTCCTTGCATTACCGTTCAGAAACCGGAAAATTACTGTTTATCCTTTTGCTTTTTGCATTTACTTGACGTTTCAAACAACCGGTTTAATTTTGACGATGCTGCTACCATCTCTAAGCCTAAGAAAATAGAACCTTGGTGTAGAATGATTGCTTACCTTAACTTTGCCTTCATTTGAACTCAAGTAACTAGATAATTATGGAAAACTCTGCCAATGATGTATTTAAATGTAAAATGTGCAAACAAGGAAAACAAACGATGAAAAGGTGTACACGATGTCGAGAGGCGTATTACTGGTACTGATGGCGAGCTGTTACATGCGGCTACTTTATGAATAATAATAAATAATGTGTTAGATGGTGCAACCGTTGGTGAGGGCAGCGGGACTATCAAATGAGCATTGTTATCTATACATTCAACTACTATTCACCTATTCTCACAAAATCCGTCCATATGCGCTATTTGGATGTCGCAAGCACTTTAAATTACATTAGTATTGAAATAACTGGTAAATTTTGTAGTATTTTTTTGTGACTACGTCTAGTTACCAAACCAACACAGTTAAATTATAATACACAGGTTAAAACCTCCCTGGGATCCAAGTATACTGGTGTCTCATTATATCGCGGTACTTAATTCTTTTGCATAAAAAGTGTAATTTCAAATTTCTACTTTAACTTATATCAAACGATATTTATACATGTAATTCTAATTTTGGCCTTACTTTTCAGTGTCAAATTATTTTCCTAGCTTGCATCATTTAATTTGTGGTCTATTTTTAAAACAAGAAGTCTGATTTACCTCCTAAATTGGAGAGTCTCATTGGGAAATCATGGAAACTTGAAGATGACATGGACCTCAGTTTTTATTTTTGAATTCACAATGTTATTCTACATGAAAAATAAACAATTGTACAAAGTAAAGACTTTTTAGCTCACCTGAGCCGAAGGCTCAAGTGAGCTTTTCTGATCACATTTTGTCCGGCGTCCGTCTGTCGGTCTGTCTGTCTGTAAACTTTTCACATTTTCGACTTCTTCTCAAGAACTGCTGGGCCAATTTCAACCAAATTTGCCACAAAGCATCCTTGGGTGAAGGGGATTCAAGTTTGTTCAAATGAAGGGCCATGCCCTCATTCAAGGGGAGATAATTGGGAATTAATGAAAATTTGGTGGTATGTTTTAAAAATCTTCTTCTCAAGAACCACTGTGCCAGGAAAGATGAAACTTATGGGGAAACACCCTCAGGTAGTGTAGATTCAAGTTTGTTCAAATCATGACCCCCAGGGGTAGGGCGGGGCCACAATGGCCAACCAAAGTTTTACATAGAAATATATAGGAAAATTCTTTAAAAATCTTCTTCTCAAGAATAACAAAGCCATAATTGATCATATTTATATGGAAGCATCCTCAGGTAGAGTAGATTCAAGTTTGTTCAAATCATGACCCCTGGGGTCAGGGCGGTGCCACAATGGCCAACCAAAGTTTTACATAGAAATATTTAGGAAAATTCTTTAAAAATCTTCTTCTTAAAAATAACAAAGCCATAATTGATCATATTTATATGGAAGCATCCTCAGGTAGTATAGATTTATGTTTGTTCAAATCATGACCCCCGGGGGTAAGGCGGGGCCACAATGGCCAAACAAAGTTTTACATAGAAATATATAGGAAAATTCTTTAAAAATCTTCTTCTCAAGAATAGCAAAGCAATGATTGGTCATGAGACTACTTTTGGATTTAAACTTTTCAATAATAAACCAATTTCTACTTTTTCCTAGCCACAGTGCTCAGGTGAGCGATGTGGCCCATTGGCCTCTTGTTAAAGATGAACTTTCTTATAATAACTACTAGGTAATGGATTTAATGGTCTAAATAAAATAAAAACGGGACTGGAAATCTATAAAATTATGTTTTATTAGAATATATTTTTTTTCAAACGGATATTCCATACTCCTTAATCATCAAAAAAGTAAACATTCAGACAACATGCAGATTGCCCATCAACAAAAAGAATATAGGCTTTGTTCAAATTTTTGCAAGATACCGCGATACAATGAAACCCGCGATATAATGAAAATCGAGTATATATAGTCTAAAAAGTGGCTTTCTAATCTGTCGCACAGGCATAGGACAAAGTTTGGACCGTAGAATAAAACACAGCAATTATATTTTGTGCTAAAAGTTAGGACTTTTACATGAAACAATGCATAAATATACTGAATTTTCGCACTTTAAAATATTTGTCTACAGTGAAATTTTAAAAAAGTTAGGGGTGGGACAATATACCGATACGCAAAATTTGTGTATATTTTCGTTATCAAAATATTATTATTTGTTTAAAAGCATTCAAATATCGGTACAAAACGATAAAACGACCCATCCAAAAATTGAAAAAAAACCTGTCCTTTGAAAATGGCGGCTTGTACGAAGTGAAGAGATTATTTTGATATTGAAGACACACTTTAGAACTAAAACATTAGGGGTAAAACGTTTTAACCAGAGGTGAGCGAGTTCGGACAAGAAAAGTTCAGTATTAAATGCGTTCTATAACGAAAATATCGTTTCCAGAACATTTGATAGTGTAAATTGTCATTGCATACCACTTTTTTTGTAATCTCAACTTCGACACACATTAGGGCAATGATTTAATAATAATGTAAATATGATCGATGTTTTTAAATGAATTTTTAAAGCGATATGAAATACATATATTTGTAAACAAATTCTAATAGTAATAATAGTATGTACATGTAATTGTTTTGTACAGTTTTAAATGAAATTGATAATGCAAGTATTAATTTCAAACAAATTAACATGATTTGATTAGAATAATTTGTTGATTTAATGTCTATTTTCAAAAAAAATAATACTTATTATTTAAAGTTTTATAATTTATCATAATTAAATCAACATGTTCAATATAAATTTCTCAAGATGTGTGTATTTAAAAAAAGTGTCAAATAACTATGTCGCAAAATTTGTGTAATTTACGTTATCAAAATATTATTATTTGTTTAAATAGCATAAAAAAGTATCTAAAAACATAAAATATCTACTAGAATATCCAAAAAAGTCCATAACATGCAACCAGAATCAAAGAAAAGTTCTATGACAGAATACTTACAAAAACACATTGGTCTTGTAACCAGAGGTGAGCGGTTCGTTTTAAGGATGTATTTTACGTTATCAATAATACTTCAAGAATACGAGTGTAAGTGTCATTGCATACCAATTCATTTATTCTTCCTGCATACCAAACACGTAAAATGTCAAAACGAGCATTGATCTGTGCGAGAAAACATTTTACACCAATAAAACTGATATAAAGTCATTTACGTTATGTAATTTACGTTATCAGTAGAAAACATACATGGTACATATCTTGCAAATAAGACGTCAGAACAATACAGAACCATGCAGGAAACGTTATTGGTTTTCTCTTGAGAGCATCTTAACATCACCGAACTTCCGATGTAGATCTGATGCAGGAAGCGCCATCAGATAACGTAAATTACGTGTTACTTTTACCAACTTTCAAATACTGTAGACGTACTTTTTTCCGCGGGGTCATAATTCCGCGGAATCTCAATTTCTGTTTAATCTGCGGGTAGATTTCATAGACTGTCATTATATGCCTTACATTTTCATTAAGTACGCTTGGAGAAATTTCCGCGGAAAATTTGTGACCGCGTACATAGCGTATTAATACCACGCGGAAAAAAGTACTTCTACAGTATTTCTTTCTCAATTTGTCAAGAATGCATTTTTGGCGTGAATTTTAATTGATTTTTCAAACAATGTGTACTCCTTTTATTTGAAGCAATAGTTCACGCATAAATCTCTATTCATTGGTGACTTAACTGAAGCAAAACATTCATAAACGTAAATTACAGTAAAAATAACGTAAATTAAATATGCTTGAAATGCCTTTCTCTGTAATTATATTTCATAAACAACGTTTATCAGAGATGGTTAGGTCGAAAGAAGAAATTTAAAAAGCATAAAGGGAGTGAAAGAAGGTAAAATAGGGAGAGACTTATCTAGAAAAACAAAGGAAAAAGTACACTCTAACAGCAGATCTTGCGTTATCATTATATCTAACTGTAAATCTCTCAAAGGGATGAAAAATAATCAGTACAGCAAAACTCGTTTAGTACAAACACAGATATTGTGAATTTACTGATATAGCGAAGTCATCTTGAATCCCCGGCTATGTAAATTTAATTAATTTCTTATACGGTTATAACGAATTATGGATATAACGAAGTGATTTCATAGGTCCCAACAACTTCGTTATAACCGAGTTTTGCTGTATTTGTGGCATTTTATGGGTGTTTGAAAATACTGTATGTCATTTAGATGGGTGGAAATAAGTTCAAGAAAATATTAATTTTTGGTTTGAATAGCAATGAAATTGTAATTTACGTTATCAATATATTTCTTCAAGAGAAATGATTTAGAATTTTCACATTTTCTTACCAAAGTAAATTTTAAAATCCTTTTCTCTTCAGGATTCAAAAACATAAAATTAAGTCGCACCGAAATTCAGTTTAAAAATCTTTAGTGGAAAAGAATAGAATTATTTCAGTTTAAAAATAAGATTAAAGCAAATAACTTTTGTTAATTACAAATTAGGAGAAAAACATTTGCACAAAAACAAAAAAATTTTGAAAAATTTTTCAGTACAGACATAGTTCTAAAAAACCCAGATAAAATTGAACATTCATTTTGGCAATAAAGAGACTTTTTAAGGGGGTCAAATTGACCTAAGACAATAACATAACTTACATAGGAAAATACCCTACCTATATTACTTATTGAATATTTATGTTATTGTGCATGATTAAGTTCTAATATTTTGAAAAAATAATTCTCCAATGTTTTGTTTGCTTAAAAACATCAACTTCTCCCCAAAATATTGACTTCATTTCTTTAATGAAAGTCAGTCTGCATGTGGACGGATTATGTGAGAATAGGTGTATTGTCTGATACTAACCATGGACCTAACGGACTAAAAGTACATCAACAGGTCCAGCACAATACCCTGATAGAGGTATATAGCTTGATAATGATAAAGGTATTTTATGTAAAGAAAATACAAAAAAAATTCTTAAAAAATTAAATTTAAAAGTTGAATTATAAGTTGTGGTCAGTGTTTCCACTTGTGCATGATGAGCACTCTGGTATCAAAAAGACAGCATAAAAGAACATCTCCTCACACGACATGCTTTTATACTGATTTCTTTGTGTATGAGTACTTGACAGGCATGGGTGAATTTACTGACAACAACTCAGAACTCGACTTTCAGTATTTAATTTTTTAAGATTTTTTTTGAATTATCATTATATAAAATACCTTGATCAAGGTATTTGTAATACTTTGATAAAGCTGTATACCTTTATCGGGGTATTGTGCTGGACCTGATCAATAAATTAATATTTCAGTCAACTATAAAAAATACTAAAACATGAAGAAATTAATATTTCAGTCAACTATAAAAAATACTAATATTGAATTATTTATTTTGATATTTTTCTGATGAATAACAAACCATATATTCAACACCAAAAGAGTCCATAATTGTATAAAATGTACAGATATACACAAGAACAAGATTTTCGCGAACAGACAGACTCGTGTATTTACCCGAAAAAGTTCTTGCGAATAAAAAGTGATTTACAGTAACATGCTGAAATGCACATTAAAAAAAGTATAAACCATTTTAATCATTAAATCATACTATAAAGCTAATTCAAGCTAAATGTATACTGAGTGTATACAATTCATGTATTTTAAAGGTGCATGGACACAGATTTGAAGTTAATATTTTTGTATAACATTATGACTTATATATTTTAATAGTATTTCACACAAAAATATATTAAAAATCTTATTTTATCTAAGTTATTAAAACTTCAAATTTTTAGAGGGGTTTGATTGACACATACTTGCACTTTCACAAATTTTAATTTTATTCTTATTACTTAGGAAAAATGGCAATCTTGTTGTGTATAAATGAAAAATATGAAAACAATAATCCAAAAAATTCAGAGTAGAAATGTTTGAAAGCAAAACATACACATAGTATATTGTCAGTCCGCGCAGTAGTCGTGAGCAGACTTCAACAATTGAATGCACCTGGTGAATCGTAAACATCAATTTCAACAATAACAATGCCCTGTTATTAAAGAAAAACTGTATACATTTCACGGGTGTGATCAGTTTACTTAACTTTGTACACAACACTTAGCACGGAATGACGATACTTGTGAAGGAGTTTTTCTTTCAAACATTTCTACTCTGAATATAATTATTTTTCTGGATTAAAGTTTTAATTAATACACATCAAGATTGCCACTTTTCCTAAGTATTTACTTAAAGAATAAAAGTAAAATTTGTGAGAGTGCAAGGATTTGTCAGTCAAACCAAATTTGTGTGAAATGTTATTAAAATATATAAGTTGTGATATTATACAGAAAATATTAACTTCTGTGTCTATGTCCCTTTAAATAAAGAGATTGTGCTGGACCTGAAATTGAACACTATAAATACCATATTGGCAACAATGTTCTCAGTCTCATATTTGTAATAAATCTATATTAGAATTAGTACTGGGCATATTTTACAAACATACCTGTTACCTATAGAAAGATTAAACCTCTATGATTGTGCTGTTTTCACTTGTAACTTGAAAAATTTAAAAAAATTTTAAGTAAACTACTGTACACTGGTATGTTTTAAAATATTTAAATCTTTGCCAAAGCATTTATGGTACTTATAATGATTCCATGCAAGTTTCAAGACTTGATTTTGTTTTAGCTCACGAGAATGTCAGGCTAAAGACTGGCCAGTGCACAGGACAATGTGTTCCCTAACAGGAGAAAACTCAACACCTGACAAGAAACAGGCAGGGAATTCAGTTAGCGTGCAGTTTACAACTGATGATGGTTCTATATTTGAACAAAATCAGACTCCGTCAGGTAATGCCACTAACCCCTCATATAGATACTGTTTATACTAAGTACTGTACAAATAGTCTGATTATTTGACATATTTTCCTTCTGAGTTAGCCATCTTGATACATTATGACTGTATATTCTGATATATTCTGTATTCCCCCAAATAACTTGTGCTTGTATAGTATACTAATTACTGTATACCATGATATAGGAAACACAGTTATTCATCAAGCTTTTTGCCCCCTAACCCACCCACCCCCTAAATAATAATATCTGATTTTTTAGCTCACCCGAGCCTTCAAGTGAGCTTTTCTGATCAAAATATGTCCGTTTTCTGTCGTCATTGTTACAGTTGGCGTCAACTTTTCACATTTTCATCTTCTTCTCAAGAACTACCTGGCCAATTTCAACCAAACTTGCCACAAACTATCCTTGGGTGAAGAGGATTCAAGTTTGTTCAAATGAAGGGCCAAGTCCTCTTCCAAGGGGAGATAATTATGAATTAATGAAAAATTAATGGTGTCTTTTAAAAATCTTCTTCTCAACAACCATTGGGCCAGGATAGATAAAACTCATGTGGAAGCATCCTCGGGTAGAGTAGATTCAAGTTGTTTAAATCATGACCCCAGGGGTAGGGCGGGGCCACAATCTCTGATCAAAGTTTTACATAGGAATACGTAGGAAAATTCTTTAAAAATTTTCTTCTCCAGAACCATTGGGCCAGGAAAGATGAAACTCATGTGGAAGCATCCTTAGCTAGTGTAGATTCAAGTTGTTCAAATCATGACCCTGGGGTTAGGGTGTGGCCACAATGAGGGAGCAAAGTTTTGCACAAGAATGTATAGGAAAAAATCTTCTCCAGAACAGAAAAGTTTTGTTTATTCAAATTGACATGTAAGCATCTGCAAGTAATGAAGATTTAGATTTATTCAAATAATGCCCTGGGGATGGGGTTGGGGTGGGGGGTTTAGCAAGGGATCACAATGGAATGGGAGATCAAGTAATATGTTGGAAAAATCTTTAAAAATCTTCTTTTCAAGTATGGCAAAATTATACACGTATGCTTTATTGATATAGTGACATTCTCAAGTATTAGAAAATCCCCCCTCCCCCAACAAGTAAACTTTTCAACACTAAGCTGATTTGTGTTTTTTAACCAGTCCATGTGCTCAGGTGAGCCATGTAGCCAATGGGCCTCTTGTTTTTTCTTGTCAAGGAAAATTTGAAAAATGATAATGTCCCTTAAAATAAGAAATGTTTAGTCCCCCTGCCAACTTCCATCCAAAAAGAACTGAATTTGATTCCTTAGAAGCCTGGGATAGCTAGATCTTATTGTCAAGCAAGTTAAATTGCATTCTGTTAGGGCTCCTGAAATGCCAAAATTTCCTGATTTTGTAGTACGTTCAGCAATTGGCATAAACATTTTTTTTTATTTCTCCTCTGAACCTACATGGGAAATTTATCCAAGACTTTAAAATTATTTATGTAAGACATGTATTGAACAAAATTTCCACTTTTCATCTGAACCAATTGACAACAAGGCCTTTGTTATTATACTTGTAAGTGTGGCAAAGGTAAAAATAATCAAACTGTCAAGATTTAGTTAAATCCTTTCAACTATGTAAGCTGTGCACCAGTGTGCATTGTAAGAGTTATGGCCCTTGAAATGTCAAATCTAGACCACTCATGATATTTACAGTTATTTATCTTCTTAAAAATAGAATGTAAATTGTTTTGAAAAATTGTTAAAACTGTAATGGCAAAGTCAAAAAGTAGAATAAGATATTCTTAGTTTATACACATACTTATGTATGAGATATTATATACTAAGCCTACTATTAAATACAACAGAAAGAAGCTAGATTATAATAATGCTTAATCAAAGTACATGTATAGGTCCCAGTGACTTCGTTATAACCGAGTTTTACTGTATAATAAATACGTTAAATATTCAGAGAAGTAAATGATAGTACATGTTCATTGTTGGCCTGTATGACCTCATTTTATTTTGATTATCAGAAGAAGACACTTATTCCCCTGTGATTGACTTCAAGAAGTATGCTAATAGCAATAGGAATCCAGTCACCTCTAACAAAGTGAATCGAGATAGTTCAATACAGGGAACATTTTACATAGAAAAAGACAGAATATGCCGGGATGTCCCCGTGTTAGACAAAAGCAAAGAATACACAGACATAGTGGTTAAAGCCAACAGACAGAAACAGACTATTGGTATTCAGGAGAGCTGGGATGGAGACAAAATTTATCGTTTTCTCTCACATTCTTTACAAATTCCCCTGGATAAGCTGAAAGTTATCCACAAAGGAAAAATTCTAAAAGCAGACAATATTAAGGAATGTGTTCAAAAGAAGGCCATTTTTCAAGTGTTTGGTGAAAAGGCAGAAGATTCCACTGGAGTGGATGATAGAGATATTGAACTTATGATGAAACAACTGAATGTCAGTCGAAATGAAGCCATATTGGCCCTAAAAGAACACGGGGATGTTGTTGATGCCATGCTTGGAGCTGGACAGAAATAATTATTCATGATTTCAATTCATGCATTTATCATTATTTTACCAATCCAGAACTTTTTAGATACAGTATGTAACATTTTTGTATCTGTTAATTTTGATTTAAAGAAATTTGCTGCATTTGCTTTTCCTAATTATAATCTACAAAAGAACAGTAACTGGTTCAAAACTCACCAAAAATTAGCTAGGTATGCAGCTTCAGGACTGATTGGTAATGATAGATATCAGCCCTGCCAAAGATGTATATATCAGAAAATAATTGTCTTTTTTCAGAAACCATTTTATAGGTTTGTAAATCCATTAAAGCTATTAAGTCATCTGTCTTGCTTGTGTGTAACAAGAGAGAGGGAAATGCAGACAAGGGTTTGAACCGAGGCCCCTGGATCTTGATCCATTCAGGTGCTCTTACCAACTGAGCTATCTTACCACTGGTGATCGAACCTGGCTGACCACCACATTCCTTCATCCTGAAAGTGTTCTCCCCCCCCAAAGACATCAAACCAAGCTCATCCCTGACAGGCCTCTCTCCTATCACTTCAAGGGCATGGCAAGGCACCAAATGTAATGGGAGAGGAGAAAAATTCAGCAGACCAGACTGGGATTCGAACCTACACCCCGTGAATCTCTGGTCAGGTGCTCTACCAACTGCGCTATCTAGCCACTGGCAAGTGAACCCATCTGACCACTACATATGCAGCTGCCAAAGTAGTTCAACAGATGTCTCAGCCCTGTATTTCTTTTTATTGGGTTCACTTTCAAGTGTTTTGTTTATATTATCATGATAAATCTAACTACTACCTGTGATATTTGATGCATTTTCACTATTTTGCTTATGGCACTAATACATGTAGATGTTGCTTTCTTCTTAATATTGAGTATTAAATTTTCACCAATAAAAACTTCCTACTCTTCATTTTTATGATTGCAGATGTTGTTCCATCCCCAGTTCTTGCTATGATGTTGTTTTTTGTTGGTATTGAGTCAAGATTACATTATAATAATTCATTGTAATTAAATGCTCGGTATACATACAGTACATGGAGATAACAAAAAGTATTCAAGCTCAAGTCCATTGAACAATGCAAAATTTGGAGCAGAGCAAACACAAAGGTGGGATCAGATGCCATAGAGGAGAAAGCATCTTCTACTGACCAATCACACCCGCCTTGGGCTTCTTGTCATGATAGAACAAGATGTATTCGTGAAACACTGAAGCCCCCATATGGCAACAAAGCAAAGATTAAACTTTTCTTAAATGCAAATTTTATATATTGGTATCAAAAGTAGGGTATTCTCACTGGAAATACAATTGTTAAATATGAAAGTAGGCAAAGGTTAAAGTTTTTACATAAGTAAATATGTAATCTTCAAGGTCAAGGTCATTGCTATCCAATGAAAAGTCTTGCCACAAAAATTACATATGTGTACATGTAAAGTATGGAAGCCCTAGCCCTAACCGTTCAAAAGTTATGGTCAAGGTTAAATTTTTTTAAAAATAAGTCAAACTCCAAGGTCAAGGTCAAAGGTCTTGCTATGAAATGAAAGGTCTTGTCACAAGGATTATATATGCAAAGTATGAAAGCACTAGCCCAAACCCTTTAAAAGTAATAGTCAAGGTTGCTTTTTAAAAGTAGGTCAAATGCCAAGGTCAAAGGGTCAAAGTTCTTGGTATCCAATGAAGGGTCTTCTCACAAGGATTACATATGTGAAGTATGAGATCACTAGCCTTTAGCATTCAAAAGTAATGGCCAAGGTTAAAGTTTTTTCATAAGTACAAAAATCTCCAAGGTCAAGGTCAAAAGGTCAAGATAATGAAAGGAATACATACATATGATAATGAATGGAATACATATGTAAAGTATGGAAGAAGCCCTAGCCCTAACTGTTTAAAAGTTATGGTCAAGATTAAACATTTTTAAAGTAGGTCAAACTCCAAGGTCAAGGTCAAAGATCTTGCTATAAAATGAAAGGTCTTGTCACAAGGATTATATATGAAAAGTATGAAAGCACTAGCCCTAACCCTTTAAAAGTTATGGTCAAGGTTTGCTTTTTAGAAGTATGTCAAATTCCAAGGTCAAAGGGTCAAAGTTCTTGGTATCCAATGAAGGGTATTTTCACAAGGATTACATATGTAAAGTTGTATGGTATTCAATGGCCAAGGTCTAAAGTTTTTAACAAAGAATACAAGGTCAAGGTTGTTGGTATTCAATGAAAGGTTTTCAACAAAGAATACATATGCAAAGTATAAATGTTCTAGTATCTACTGTTCAAAATATATGGCCAAAGTAAAAGTTTGAAATTTTTGTGTAAAAGTGGGTCAAACTCCAAGGTCAAGGTCAAAGAACTTTATTTGGTAATAACCAATATTTGCCCCCCAAATCAAACTTTGATGGAGATATATTTAATTAAGTTCTTAAACAAGGGAGTATGTGCTGACTTCAAAGCACTGAATATTTTCATAAGTCATGACGCCATATGTACGTAATGACGTCACAAACATGACGTAAATTTCAATTTTTTATGAATTTTACAGAAAAATGTACATATTTCGTCGATATTTTGAGAGTACCGAGCGCATGTGTGTTCAGGATCAATATTTTGATATAATGTGTAGAATGATAATATCAATGAAATATGTCAATATTGTTCCTGAACAAACTTGCGCTCTCTAAATTTTAAAGCTAAAAATTTTGTCCTCTTTTGAAAAAGGATATAAAATCGGACTAGTTTGTGACGTCATAAAAACAAAAATTGTGAATACACTGCTTTGACACTATAATATTTTCTGTTAATTTATATTTCTCATACGATTTATTGAATTCAGCACATTTTAGGAAGTTTTCAAAAATTGACTTTTGTGGGGGCAAATATATGCAATATACCGCATATAGTTCTTTGGTGGTACCCAAAGAAAGGTCTTGTCACAAGGAATACACGCGTGAAATATGAAAGTCATAGCTCCACTAAATCACAAGTTATGGGCAAGGTTAAAGTTTTTGCGGACAGACAGACAGAGAGACAGCTAGACGGACGGACACGCCAAAAACTATATACCCCTGAAACTTTGTTAATGGGGGCATAAAATTAACAGAAAAATCCAGACAATTCAGTGTGTAAATATTTGTCTAACAATAAATTCATTATTCACCATAGAACTTCAGAAATGAAGACTTTAAACAAGACGGCAGTTATTCTTGTTTCATCAACTTGTTTGTCACTAAATTCTCATTTTAGAAATTCTTCATACATAGAGCATGCTTTTGCATGTCCAATCAACTGAGAAATATAAACCATGTATGCAGTTTATGAAGGTACATGTATATTGCTGCATAAGTAAGGGAAGTTGAAGACTGAAACCAAGAAAATTGTATGCTCATTCTTAACATAGCTTGGGACCAGGTTTGTATTAAAAAGTTTGAGTTACTAGCCATGCCTTTGAAAGGAAGAGAAGGAATAAATGGTTAATTTGAGAAAAAAGTTCAATCATTCCTTCCTTAAATGCTGGATTTACTATGTAGGCAGAATGATTTTCATAGCCACAATATGGTGAAACTAGATATAGAGACTTGCACATAAACTATATAAGTTGAAACTTTAGCAAGATGCATTTAGCACTTAACTTGTACCATCAGTAATTTTGACAAGGGTCATGATTTGAGCAGACTTAAATCTGCACTATGTAATGTAGCCTGACTAAGTTTCATCTGGCTCTGGCTTAGAGATTCTTCTGAAGATTTTCCAATGATGCCATTGAATTTTCACAAATTTTTAATTATCTCCCCTTGAAAGAGGGCATTAGTTCTAAATTGTAAAAAGATGAGTGTTCTCAAGGTACTGCAGTACATTTGAAATTATGCAGCTAGGTTTCATATGTTGCAAATAGGCATCACATCTTACAAATCAGAGCACCAAATGAGCATACATCAAATCAAAACCAGATTAACAAACTCTGATATATATATTTTTTAATTTGTTGAAAAGAATAAGTGACTAAATGTTAACAAATATGAAAGACCATTCATCAGAATGACAGAAATGCCCCACTGTGGAGTAGGGAGTTGATAAAGTCTTCAATGAATACAAAATTTCTGCTCAGATATTATCTCCATAAACATTCTATGGCTCTTGGTAGGAAAATAACCTTGACACAAAATCAATGAAGCAAAGTTAAAGCACATAGAGTTAAAAAAAATATAATACAAAATATGCTTAGAAAAAGATTTTATAAATTAAAATTTGCAAACTATGGAATTAAATCTATCTGTACTATTATCTTTGGCCTGACAACCCAGTTTGTTTTTAAGTTTTAGCATGCACTATGTCTAATAATTATTTTTTAAATTTAATTTCAAGTACTTTTGTTTTGATTTACATTTTGCAGTAAAACTTGTTTAGTACGAACAAGAATATAGCGAATTCAGTGATATAATGAAGTCATCTTGGATCCCCAGCTATATAAATTTAACACATTCCTTATACGGATATAATGAATTACGGATATAGCGATGTAATTTCACAGGTTCCGGTGACTTCGTTATAACATAGTTTTACTGTATCTTGAAATTACCTATACGAGTATAACCTTTAAAATTCATACATGATTGTAAATTACTATACATGTACTTATTTAGAGATATGCTTAGATTATGCATATGGAATTTAACAGTTAATAATTTATTTTTTATGAAAAAATGATAAAAATACTGAACCATATTGAATCACAAACATGTTCCAACAAGCACTTCCAACAATATGGCCCTTTATATATATACAATGGTTATCACAGTCAACATTTCAGAAACAACAAATAATCAAAAACTGACACTAAAATATAAAAAAAAAAAGATCACCACCCACAGGGTAAACATCTCTGATCTTTAACATGATTAAAACTTGTGATGCATTTTTCAAATGATACCTTGTTTCTTTTAACTGGTATTTTCTATCCTTGCATTAGTAGTAAACCAATTCTGACTACAAACAATTACCACATCTAAGAAGTTAGCCAATAGCAGTATGTTTTTGGTCTAGTCTGAAAACTTTGTGAAACATCATCTTATTGCACAATGCGAGGATGAAGAGGATTTCTCTAAATTAACTTATACCATACATTCTTGGATATAAATATTTCAATTACATGTCTATGTAGATGTATTACATATATCTGATTATAATAAAGGAATTAAATTCTATCTAAAGAGTGCACATAAACCTTTTTTCTGCTTGCTACTTTAATATCACATTTTCCTACTGAAAAAAAATCATTTCATCCATCTTTACCTACCAAAAAAAATGGTTTTCAAGCCTAACCAATAATTTGATCACCCCATTACAATGTTAACCTTGCTTAGGCGAAGAAAACTGTATTTCATAATCTTGTGATAACTGTCATGCATACATTATAACACTTGATACTTTAAACTATGCAGTATGTAATTATTACATAACTAAGTAAATTATAATTAATTTATACCATTTTCATTGTTCTAGGAGAAAGATAAAGCTAATAAGGAGTGAATTTAATGTTTGCTCCAGTTTTAATTTTTCTCATATAATTTTACTGAGTTACTATAATAAAAAACATCTTTTATGGATAATTGATAATACAAAAAAAATTAAGTAACCAAAACATTATTCATAAGAAAAGGTAGTGGAATTTATTCCATATAGTACATGTATTAAATTATCATATAATATTACCTAATGTTACTTTTTCATCAATATTTCACAGAAAATAAAAATTATATTATAATCAAACTAAATCTGTATTTGGAGCAGCATTTTGAGAGTATTAATCAGAAATTTCTATTTTTAGTAACCCCCCATGGCAACATCGTTCATCGAAATCAAACCAAAACAGAAAAATATTTTTAAAAGCTACTT